TGAACATGATTCTTATCTTTGCAACATAGTAATAGTTGCTTAGAGTTGCAACTCAGAGGCCGGCAAGTGAGGCGGGGAACGTTGGAGTCCGCAGTCCCTGGAGGAAGCAAGCCTCCCTGCACGCTTCAGTGCATGGCTGCCGGCCGCCATCTTGGCTGACAGTTAATTTGCATACGGATACGCTGATTAGCCAATGGGAAGGGTAGCGGTCGTATGCCAATTACCATGTTTCTCTTTTATTAGTGTAGATATTTTTATTGGTTTCAGAGAGGAAGGGAGAGGGAGAGATAAAAACATCGATGATGAGAGAGACTCGTCAATCGGCTGCTTCCTGCACGCCCCCTACTGGAGACTGAGCCCACAACCCGGGCATGTGCCCTTGCCTGGTATAAAACCCAGGACCCTTCAGTCTGCAGGCGGACGCTCTATTCACTGAGCCAAACCAGCTAGAGCCTTTTTATGGTTATTTTAGAGTGTACTCTTCTTACTTATAAATGAAAGTTTTCTGTAAAACAGCAGCAGCCTCACACCTTTTGTGTTTCTTGCAGCTCTTGATTGCAACATTTCCTCTTGTGCTTGATTTTGCTTTGTGTTGTTTTGTACAGTAACATGCTGTGTGAGGTTATAGCCTAGGAGCCATAGGTTATACCATAGAGCCTACATGTGCTAGGTTTGTGTAAGTACTGTACGATGTTCGCAAGGCAAAGTCGCCTAAGGACACATTTCCCAGAATGTCTCCCTGTCACTAAGCAGCACATGACTGTATTAGGGTTCCTTCATCTGCACTTGCAGATAGATGGAACCTGGCTTCACAGTCAGATCCTCCGTGTGCCACTCATTCACTGGAATATCGTGCAGGTGGACGGACAGCAGCCCATTTTCCATCTCTGAACCTTTCTTCCACTGGAGAGAGAAGAAAATGTGTTCTGCCCACCATGGACTATCAGACACTGCTAGCAGCTCTCAAGCATTAAAATATGAAAATAGAAGACATGACTCGGGCTATCAGCGAATTCATAATATAGAGACACTTACAAACAACCAATTGGATAGTGAATGGACATCTTCTTGCTCAAGCTAGAAGCCCCGTGCTAGGTGCCAGGAAGAAAAGTGTCCGCCCCTCAGGGAGTTACAATAAAGTGACCCAAGGATACATCACAAATAAGGTCAATGGACAACTTCTCAGTCGAAGAAAATAGTGATTCAAGCCGAACAGAAGCCTAAGTCTTGGTCTAACATGAGCAAAACTGGCATCACACTTTGGAAGTAGTATATGACTTTTATTGAATGAACTGTTCAGAACTGTAGTGCTGTTTATACTCACAGGCTGCACAATGAGCATCCATGTGGATGGTCCAGAGATGAGAGTCAACAGGACGCTGGGATCCTGTCGGGGTCAAGCCAACTCTGTGCCCATCCACAGGCCTGCAGCCCAATGCTTCCTAAGCTTTTCTGCTTTGCATTCTAGTGCCAATGGGAGGCTTGGCGGGGAGGGGCAGAGGGGCGGGGCGGGGCTGAGGGGGGTGAGGGAGGGGAGAATGGGAAATTTGAGGTGGTGGGTTTTTTTGTTCTTTTTTTTGTTTGTTTTTTTGTTGTGTTGTTGAGGTGGTATTTTGTTATCTTTCAGGATGAGTAACGAGGTTACTTATAATACAGATCAGTGACATGAAGGAGAGAGAGGCATAATCAGTGAATCTTCTCCCCCACCCCCCATTTTTAACTTTTCTTTGCTGTCACAACTTTCCAATGCATTTTTCTGATCATTTAATAAAGTCTTTTGAGAAACAAGCAGGTCAAAGACTTGAGGAAACATATGCCAATACCACCGAGCACATTTCCCTCCCAGACACCCACTTCCAGCCGGCCATCTGCTCTCTGTCAGCCAAGTGTTTATAGCCTTGCTTTCACTCCTTTTCACAAGCGCTGCTTTGAGTGCCATGGAATCCAGTATTGTTTCCCCATCTCCGAAGAAACAACAGGATAGAGTTAACTTCTAATCATTGCATCATTTCCTCCCATTTCAGATGTTCTGACAAAGTTACTCTTAATTTTTAAAAAGATTTAGGTTATATCTGATCAATAATGTGCCACCCATTCAGCTGCACTTCCTGACTTTTCACCTGTCATTCTGAGACCCTCTCAGATGGAATCAATAATCCTAAGTCAGTAGAACACTGTATATTAGGCTATGAGCATTTAGTGTCATTTTTTAAAGCTGGCTTTTGTTCACCATTTGGGAGATAATATTATTAACCTAGAAATCAGCACTAAGGATGAGAGATGGGAATGCTCACGAGTGTAATCAGATCTATTCATGCTGGTGTACCCAGAAGGCTCTCATCTCTGAGGAGGAAATCATCCCTCTCAATTTAGGACTGACCCAGAGACCCTGAATCTGGGGGCCTTTGTAGTAAACTTTCTCAATTCACCGAGCAGAGCAGCTGGGGGACTCCGGACCCTTGACAAGGAGCTGGCTCCCTGATTAACCCTTTCCTTTGCTGAGGCCCTAAAAGGCCCAAGTCCCAGCTGGTCTTGACATCAGATCAGCATCATTTGGCCAAAGAGAAACTAGTTAAGTACACGTTACATGTGATGATAACTCCCCACTCCCCACCCCCACTGTCCCCTAATCCTAATCCACACAGCTCCCTACCACTTAAGAACACATTTACAAACAGCCCAAGTCTAGGTAGAGCTCATAATAAACTCAGAGACCTCTTTTCTGGTGTTTGGGGTTTTAAAGTAACAGCTCTCCTGAGGAAGACAAATCAGAACTTTCTATTTACAACAGCAAGGTGGTCCAGACACCCAGAGCCAGGAGCACATAAGGGGATCTCAGATGGGGTCTAACAGCACTCCAATGTGGCAGCCTCGAGGTGGGGACACAGGGGAAGGCTGTGAGGAGAAGGTGGAGACACAGGGGAAGGCCGTGAGGAGAAGGTGGGGACACAGGGGAAGGCCGTGAGGAGAAGGTGGGGACACAGGGGAAGGCCATGAGGAGAAGGTGGGGACACAGGGGAAGGCCATGAGGAGAAGGATGTGGCGGAGAGGAGGGTCCTCGGGTTAGCTGTCTCTGGAAATGCCCCCTGCCCTGTCCACCTTCACGGAAGACAGGTGTGCAGGACAAGTTCCAGCACATAGACACACCTCATGGGAGGAACACGGGTCCACAGTGTGTGTGTGGAGCATCCCCTGGGCCTCAAGGGCACCCACATCTGTGCTTAGAAGGTGAGGACACAGATTTTTGGAAAGGACTTGGGATATTGCTCTCCAGCTCTGTCACCCCCTCAGACAGGAAACAGACTCTAAGGTGATGGGAACAGATGATCATGGAGGTGGCTGTGGGAACCCAAAGGGGTTACATGGGTGAATCCCAAAATGTTGGGGAGACCTGGGACCCCACAATGAGACTGTCCACCTCACTGTGTGCAAATTGATCTAACCTTTCTGTAAAGCTATTTGCTGGTAACATACTGCATTGCAAATGTTTCAAAATGTTCCTTCCCTCCACTCCAACTCCTCAAACTCTGGTAATCTGTACTAAACAAGAATAAATATGGTTATTTATGACTTTTTTAAAAAAGAAATAACCTAAATGTCCAACTACAGGGAGGATAATTCAATAAGTTATGGTAAGTCATGCCATACTGAAGGGTTTAAAAATGTTACCCACATAGTTTTCAGTGACATGAGGGAAAATACCCGATATGATATTAAGTGAAGAAAGTAGCTCTCTTCTGGCAAACCAAGCATGCTTCCAGTTATAGACTCAGACAGGAATGGTGTAAGGAAATGTGGTGCAAATTTTCTAATATTCCATCACCTGTGGTTTGTAGTAAGCATAAGAGATTTTTTTTCTGTTATACTATCCTGAATTTTCTACAATTTTTATAGAAATTGCTATAATTTCTATATGTCACATTTATAATTGGAAAACAGGATATTTAAACCTGCTCTGATCATACCATCATTATCAACTTCACCAAGTTATAAATTACAAAAATGACTTTCTATTACTAAAGAACATGCATTATCCAATTACACACAGAGGACTGCAGTGTAGACCAGGCTATTCTCACGCTTAGCTCAGAGATCTGAAGCAATGCAGATCATTCCCATTTTAAGATATTAGATTTGAACTGTAGCTGAACAACCAAGAAAGCTTCACCCAAACTAGAGAGGAAAAATGCTTATGGATCCCATTAGTCGTTTACATCATTTAAAGCAGTGGTTCTCAACCTTCCTAATGCTGCGGCCCTTTAATACAGCTCCTCATGTTGTGGTGACCCCCAACCATAAAATTATTTTCGTTGCTACTTCATAACTGTAATTTTGCTACTATTATGAATCGTCATGTAAATATCTGATATGCAGGATGTATTTTCATTGTTACAAATTGAACATGATTAAAGCATAGTGATTAATCACAAAAACAATGTGTAATTATATATGTGTTTTCCGATGGTCTTAGGCAACTCCTGTGAAAGGGTCGTTT